ATCCTCTTGAAGGTTCCCCAAGGCACCCTGCCCCCATTGTCCTCACTCCCCACTTTTCTACACAGCCCCCATGTTCACATTTTGTCCTCTGCTGCTTTGTGCACTGCTGTGACCCCCCATGGTGCTGGGTCTACAGGACCACTCGGTCTGACCGGGCTGATGGCCGTGTTGCCTCCGTCCCTGTTCCATTTGCACGTGATGTTCTGCTGCAGGTGGTAGGAGCCTGGCTTGGGGAATGCAAGGCGCTGACTCGTAATTACGCCCCACGTAGCTCAGTCCTGGGGACAGAGCTGCACAGCAGAGAATTCACCCCAGAGCCAGACTCTAGGGACTGGTCCATATGAAAGAAGTATGAGTAGAAACACCTGCTTTTGTTATAATAAACGACAAGCAAATGCTGCCACAGTGTCTCCCAAAGTTTAGCGCCTCGTGAAACAGTGGCTCCCCTGGTAAACGCCTTCCTGTGGACGCACTGACCGGTGGCTCAACCAACACCGTCTTCCACGGCTCACGCCAAGCGAGGCTACCTTTGTGTGATTGATTTACTCTGCCCTTTTCCCCACGGACGAGCTGTGTGTGTGGATGGGAGCGCTACCTGTCCATATCAACCTCTTTCTTCCCGTTGGTCTCTCCATGTTAGGACCTGTCATGAATCCGTAGAGAGTGGACTGTACCATCGAAAGTGAAATGTTCACACTGTTATGCTTCTTACTGACAATGGATCTGGTCACATTCATGTTGTAACTGTGGGTTTGGAGAAAGAAACATTGCTGCATCTTTTAAAAGTCTTTAAGCTAGCTGCCATTGCCTGATAGGCATAGAGAGATCCCGCAGTCTGAGTTAGGACTCTGGTTGAGGACTGAAGTTTTTGATACTTGGTCACATGTGGTCAGGTGGGATGAGGTCTTTGATGTTGAGGGGTTCATTTCAGCTCCATTGCAGAGAATAGTTTGACAAGTAGATTCAAGTTGCAGGTTCTGGAGCTGTAACTCTGGGTTGGGACCCCAGTTCTGACTTCTGTTGACCACAGGGTGCCTCAGTTTCCCCATCCATAAGGTGGACTCTTGAGCACACTTGCCATGAGTATCAATGAGAAGACTCAGGTAAGACGCAATGGAGGAAGCTCTCAGTGACGCTTTGTCACCACGGTGACGTGTGGCCACATGGAGCGCTGAGCTCGGTCAGTACCTGCTTCTGTTCTTATCACATCCGCTAATCACGTCAGCATTCCTGCTGACGGAGTACACAGGACCTTCAGGCAAGTGAGAGGAAGGGAAGGTTCAAGGGCTCAGACAAAGGCCACCAGGCCATCACCAAGGCTGCCCTGTAGTGGAGAGGACTCTGGGACACCCGGGCACACAGAGCCCTTAGGTTGGGGCTCAGCACACAGCTGTCTTCAAGGAGCGCTCACTCTGGCTCTCAGAGGAGCCTTTGTTCCCACTCAAATCCCAAAGAATCACAAATGCTGAGGGGAAATCAAACTTTTGGGAGGAGTCATTCAGGAAAGTTTGAAGCAGTAAGTAAGAAAACACAAAAGCACCGATTGTTCTTGGTAAACTACAGAGATTAGCAGCTCTGTGTATCGAAATTGGTTCTCAGCAAATGTTCCGGGTTTTTGCTTCACTCCCTGATTACTTCTGTGAAAGAAATGAGGCCAGTCCCAAGGCACAAAAACCAATTTCTCACTTCAGAGGCAAGACACTTAATTCGCTAAAGGAAAGGAGTGTTTGCGTGTCATTCAGTGACGCTTTGGCAGGTTACTGGAAGGTGGTGAACTCCTGCCCAAGCAGGCTTGGTGTGTACGGACGCGGTGCTGGGATGGAACCCGGCCTTGGACATGCCAGACAAGCATTGGACACCAAGCTGCACCCAGCCCGTTCTGTACTGTCAACGACGTTCATGTCTGGTTATGCACCTGGCACAATCTTTAGATGTTGTCGTGACTAGGGTTTATTTTAAAAAAGCTACAGGATCAGTTAAAGACTCACGTCAGAGAGACTACGGGTCAGGTTCTGAAAGACTTCGTTGTCAAAGCTTTCCACTCCTTAGGTTTTGGGAGCTCGGATCTTAGAGCCACGTGGTTCTCCGAAAGCCATTTCCATCCCAGGCGCCAAACCTTTCTCTGTTAAGGGAAGAGAATGCATCCAAACCTGAGGGAAAAGCCTCTAAGCCATTACAAGGTTGGAATGACTGGCAGGGCTTCTCTGGGCACATGCTGGCGTGTGGGTATGGATGGTAGGGTGGGTTCCTTTGGGCGTGTGCCCGGCGTGCTGGTTGCGTTGGCAACCTGACTGTGCAGGGCGAGGGCGAGGCTGCATGGGCGCGAGGGGCGGAACAGGCGGCGCGCAGGGCTAAGGACGTTATCGGGGCGTAAGAGAGGGTCATCAGATACGCGGAGAAGACAGGGGCGTAAGGGGGAGGCGAGGGAGAGCCAGGCGTCACTTCTTCATGGGACATTGAGGTGGGGGCTGAAGGCTATGCCACGTCAGGGCTGGGCTCGGGGCTGTGGCTCACCTGAGCTGCGACTCTGGCTGAACAACGGCTTGGCTTTTCCCAGTTCTTTCCTGGAAGGAAGGCCATACCGACCCTTCCTGTGGGGTCCCCAGCTGGAACTGAGTGGAGGAGTACCTGCCAAGTGTGTGGCTGCCTGTGGGCCTCCACTCTTCCCCAGTACCACGGCGGAGGCCTGCAGCAAGAACCAGGCCTCTCCTCACATGGTTCATGTGTGGTGGAAACCCAGGGTCAGCAGGCCTTGAGGACAGGACGACATGGGGCACAGTCAGAGGAGCCATTGTCTTTGCTGGGAGTCAGGCTCTAGCTGTGTACTGCTTGGTGGAAGTCCATCCATCTTCATGGGTGAGCTTGTCCTTTTCTGTGTACAGCAGTGTTTGCAAACAGAGAACTGTTTCCTGGCACTGAGCAAGTCACAGGTGTGCTGTGGCTTCAGCCTGTGCCCAGCCTTCGAGCTACTCACCTCTATCTCATCTGGTGGAAAATCCACAAAACAGCTCCTTACTCCCTGGGCATGGTTAAGACTCTTACTGCCAAAGTTTGCACTAATATTTCTGTGATTTTCTTAACAATAGCTTGTGTAGACCCTGCTCAGGGGCCCAGAAAAGTCGACCCACTTCTCAATGGTAGCCTCAGGCTGGGCTCGTTAGCCTCAGGTGCTGGCGTGGTACAGAGGACATTTGTCTGTTCTCACGGGGAGCAGCCCAGGAGCCCAGGACAGAAATGGCCATTGGCTCCTCCCAGACAGGGTTTCCAAGGTGTCGGCCGAACCCTGCACTGTATGACATGGGATGAAATTCGCAGATTGTGAATGAGGGCCATATTTCAGAGCTGCTCTTTGAAAAAGTTTTAGGTAGTAACATCTAAAAGGTTTTAGGTAGTAAATGTGGGAAAAACTGATTTAACCCACCCCACTTTACGGGAATAACACCAAACCATAAACTGCCTGTGTGAGCAGCACATGGTCTCGATGTCTCAAACACTCCTGCCTTTGTGTGCCTCAACACCTGCATGGAGAAGGGAGAGGCAGAGAGGTGCTGGGGCTGGTCTCAGAGCTGGCCCTGATGACTTCGTGTGGCTGGAATTAATTGCTCGTGGGTTGCCTCTGTGGGCACGTGGAAATCCCATTTCTGCCGAACCCAGTCATTGGAAGAGGCACAAGTTCTGGATGCCTACGTCAAATGTGCCTTCTGTGTCCTCCTGACTGGTGATTCCGGGTGAGCAGTGGTCTCTGCCTGGACACACAGAAAGGGCAGAAGCGAGGTACAGCTCTGACAAGGCAGGCTGAGCCTTCATGCTGGCTGTAGATTTTTCTTTGGCTTCTGAGTAAGTGAGACATCAGTGTGACCCCCGCCCCATGCCTCTCTGTGGCTTTCTCACAGAGGCATCATCCCTCATGCCCTGAATTCTGGGGGTGGTGGCCTCAGGTGTCGCCGTGTCGTACTGGCAGGGAGCAGCCCCCATGGGTGTGCAAAGCAGGAGAGGCAATGAGAGGGGCTCTGTGTCCTCTAGCAGGGCTGGCGTGGACACCTGTAATGCTCAGAAGTGCAAATCTAACAAGAGAGCACTCTGGACAGAAGCACCATTATGGGGTGCCAGCAGTGGGCACCTCAGCTGCACCCTACAGGTGGAAGCACCGGCTCCCTCATCCCCCAGGTCCCACTGGCAGGACAGATGGGGAACATGGCCTCTTTGTCACTGTGCAAGTCCTGGGAGGAGGGACATTCTGATGCCAGACTTGCTTAGCGCAGTGCTGCAAATCAAGTGTGTGTGCGCCCGTCACATCGGAATTTGACAGACAATGAGGTGCCAGGGTAGGGCAGGCCTTCCAGAAACAGGCCTAAGTGCTGACCCTCTGTCACTGTTTCCTTCTGTGCCTGGACATACAATAATAATAGTGATAATGAATGTGTGCAAGTCCTCAGCACCTCTGTGCTATCCTGGTTAAAGCAGTGCTAAAATGAGCTTCCTGGATGGTTGGGGATGAGGCTTTGAACCCTGGGGTACAGGGCACATGAGCTCCCAGGCCAGAGGGTGACTCTTCCTATGGACATCACTGGAATCCAGGTTGCTGTTCTCTTGCTTCCCCCCCTCCCCCAGAAGCACTCCTGGGCACAAGGGTGGAAGGTCAGAAGCTGCTGACTTGGGTCACGTCCATGTCTCTCATGGAAAGTGTCCTTGTCTGGCCAAGTGCCTTACCACTTCCTCTGCCCCGAGGGGTTTCACAGCAGACTGCGGAACTTCCCTGGTTTGTGGCAGCCAGTCCCTCCCTTCCTCCCAGTTTGTAGTTGTTTGTTTGAACTTGAGACTTCCTGAGGCCTGGAAGGTGTTTTTGGCCTGAGCAGCTCCCTGCCACTTGGAGCTCTGTCCACTCAGCCCCGTCTTAGGAAGGAAGCTCCCAGAACTCGCACACAGATGGGCGGGCACAGCCATCCTGTCCCCTCTGCTGTGTCCTCAGCAGCACCACATCATTTTCCTCTGCCGCTCTGTGAGGTGAGGGATCGTAGGAGGACTGGGGCCTCGGCTGCAGCACGAGGGTGTTACGGGGTCTGAGGACCAGGAGGCCACTTGACTCTCTTCCTTCTTATGACTTGGGAAAAACCAAGGTCACTCGGGACATCAGCACCTGTTTTTCGTGGCAGTGCAGGACCCAGGTGCCTCCTATAGGTCACTGACACCTGCACAGCTTCTGACTGTCCCACTGGACTTTGACTCACGTGCGACCTGGTCCTGAAGAATCAGAGTTGCCTCTGCTTTGTAGAGACTCAACTTTCCAAAAGAAACTCTATGGCGGAGAAGGGCGCTTCCCGAGGGGCCGTGCGGAAGTTCTGGTCACTGTCAAGGAGGCGACGGGGAGCCTCAGGGCGCGAGAAGCCAGGTGAGTCTGGAGGGATGGCACCTACCTGGGCCTGGAGACAAGTGCCCAATGTCCCCTCCAGGCAGTGTCCTGTGGGCTGCTTGTTTATAGGACTCTCAGAAGTTTACAGATGACCTGTTGGATATCTTCGCTCACAGGCAGCCTGGGGTCTGTTTTTTCTGCGCTTCATTTGGGGTCAGCATTTGTCCCTAGGTCTGAGGACCTGGCTCAGAAGTGGCTGGTCCACCTGGAGAGCTGGGTAGATAGATGGTGAGTGGATGTGACCAAGCGCCCTCAGGCTAGGGTGAGTTTGGTTGGTAGGTGGAATAGGGGCTGCCTGTCACCCTGAGTCCCTTCTGTCTTCACGGCATCTGCCCCCTCTATCACGGCTTCTTCTTTGGAGCTGGAGTTTGCTCAGCCAGATGGCACACTCCATGCTCTTGCAGCTTTCAGAATAAGGCGTTATGAATTAACTTCCAAAGGAGCAAGGGCGTTCCAGGAGATTGAGCTGGGGAAGAGCCGCTGGCTAATTTTCTTCTAGCAGGAGCCTGTGCCGCCCTCCTGAGGGACCTGGAAACTGGGGGTTTGCTGAGGATTTGGGGCCATGGTGGCCTCTGCCCTTAGGCACATCTGGCATGTTAGGATGTCAGGGTGGAATCTGTTCTCTGGGAAGACACTTGTGACCCAAAGACTGGAGAAGTGAGGGTGAGTGCCCACCCCACCCCACATGGCTCCTCACAGTAGTGTGGGGATATTTTCAATCCCCACAACCCCTACCTGTGAGGGAAAGGCCAGGCAACTGGCCATGCGTCTCAGGTTTGCAAAGGGAGGCAGCCACTCTCCAGCTATAAACCCAGCTTATGCTGGGCTCTTCCACACCCAGAGTGGAGCCTGAGGATTGGCCCCAGGGTATCTGATGACCCCAGGGTGGACACGGTAAGCAGGTCAGGCCCCCCTCCCACTCCCTTGTGGGTGTGGCCAACATTCATAACTGCTGGTCAGGCTAAGCCTGACCTGTGCTGCTGTGGATAATTGGACAATCCTCAGTTTTAGATGCCTGGTCTCAGATTCCTTACCATGCCCACCTGCTGCCTAGTACAGCCCCAGGGCCCAAGCGGGGCCAAGTGAATCCTGGCACCCTGTTCCTCCCCTCCCCTCTTCAGGCCCTAGATATCAGTGCAGAGAGGTGTTCTGAGATGGAGACCCTAACTGCCCCCCATGAAATGGGGTACCCAGGACCAGGTCTGCTAACTCTGGGGTCACTGTCCTTGGGTCTCCAATGCTCTCTGTGCAGTGTGGGTGCTGGGGTGTTGGAACCCATCTGTTGGAAGCCCTTCTGGCCCTGTCTACCCCAGCTGGGTCTTGGTGCCATGTGATTATTTTGATGTTAGCCAAGGAGGGAGGGGCCCAGGTGCCCGTGGTTCTGGGTGGTAGTGGCCTGGGTCAGGTACTTGAGGCAGGTGAGCAGAGCTAGGTCTGGGACCTCAGGAGAACCACAGGGGCCACTTTGGGGGCATGTGGTCCTCAACAGCATCTCAGGGGCCTCTGCTAGCCCAGTGTGAGCCTGAGAGACAGATATGTGTGGAGCTGTGAGGTGGTGTCCCTAGAGGGAATTAAGGGCAGCAGACATTCTGGGAAGAGTTCCAGCATGTTCTAACAAGGCTGAGAAGTGTCTTAAGGAGGTTTTGGATACCTTGTGAAAGCCATCCAAGAGTGCTGAGAGGACAGAAGGCACAGGGCAGGAGGAAGGCAGGGGAGACGGCGCCTTTGTCCTCTCCCAGGACGCTGCCATGAGGACTATTTGGGAGGTGGATGCCTGGTCAGCGAGGCTGCTTTTATGGACCTGAACTTGCAGATGGAGGAGGCCAGGGCAGTGACCAGGGAGGGGCAGCCGAGACCCTTGGGAATCAGGAGAGGCTGGAGCAGTCAGGAACATGCTGGGATCCAGCAGTGGAAGAAAATCTCCATGAGGCCCTTTCCTCCTTCAGGGAGGAGGTGGGATAGGTGAGAGCGCCTTTGGATGAGGACAGAGGGGGTCTGGGCAGCCACTCCAGAGCAAGGTGGAGGACCTGAGACCCCTAGAAGACTGGCAAAGCTTCAGCATGCCCCATGGAGAGTGTAAGATCACCAAGGTTTGCCTTTGTGTGCCTGAGGACGCCCGAGCTGGGCAGGTGAGCAGGTTTGTGACAGCTCAGTGCAGGCACAGTTCAGGTGCGGCATAGGTAAAGGTGAAGTTCAATGCAGGTGCAATTCAGGTGGAATAGCTCAGGCCAGACCCAGGTCAGGGGCATTCACAACTCAGATGGAGATGCATCTGAGGCGGGCAGCAGCCTGGGCGGCCAGCAGTTCAGGTGATGTGCTCCAGGGTGGCTGCCCCACTAAGACAGTAAACACTAACAGGACACAAGCTTTATCCAGCAGCAGCTGAGGTCTTGGGAATGTGGAGTCTTCACAGGGCTGTGACATCTGGACTCGGGGCTGAAGTTGACATGCAGTTGGAACTGAGGCAAGGGACAGGATGATGGGGAGCCTGCAGAACAGAGGGCGAGATCTGGTGTGGGCCCTTCACAGAGGTCCAAGAGGAAGTGTGCTGCTGTCAGAACTTAGGGAAAGCCTTTCCCTTTCATGTGGCTTCTGGTTGGGTGACCCAGAGCCATGGTAGCAGTCAGGCTGTGTATTCAGCAGAACCAAGCAAAGCAAGAACTGGAGGCACAAGTGCAAACCCCAGCAGCCTGTGGGCTTCATTTTGGGACTTGCTGCTCAGGGGTTTTGAGTGGGAGTGGGTGGACCTGCTTTTACACGTGTTGCACTGGGTGTGGAGGAGCTGCTACCTCTGTTTTCATTGGAAGCACTTGGAGATTGTTTTCAATTGTCCTGTGAGTAAGAAAAAGCTAAAACACCTCAGGTTTAAACGATGGTGACTATGCAGTGGCAGGTGTGGCCCTGGGCCCCACCTCATGGTTTTAGGAAGTACCTCATTCATCTTTTGATGCCAAGCAGACACACCTCCTCTGGGAGGGGCCCTGTTCTTCATGAGCCTGCAGAGGTCGAGCCACACTTCAGGGAGTGCTGCAGGCCAAGTTATCTGGAGCCTGCTGTATAGGGGCCAAGAAGTGAGATAAGGAGCCTCTGCCCAGGGCAGATCACTTGAGGGCACGGCCCCTCCTACAGCTCTCCTTACCTACCAAATGCCTGGTGCTCAGGGTACAGTGGACGAAGGACACTGGGTATCCTCGGACACCTTGTGGCCCTGGGTGAGGGTGGCCTGCTGCAGCCTCTGGGTGAGGTCTAGCCTCTGTTCTCCTTCCTGCCTCCTCCCACACCCATCCATCTGTACATGTCTGTTTCAGGCTGGCCTCTGTGCCTCCATGGACAGACCTCTCCCAGGCACAGGGACAGTGGCTGTTTTCCTTGGGCTGAGCATTGACAAAAGCAGGCTCAAGGTGAATCAGCAGTCAGACTTCCCACAGCAGGTGGAGGATCTGCTTTTTTTGTGTGTGTGTGGTATTGGGGTTTGAACTCAGGGCCTTGAGCCCTCCACCAGCCCTTTTTGTGATGGGTATTTTCGAGATAGAGTCTTACAAACTATTTCCCCAGGATAGCTTCAAACCTCCATCCCCCTGATCTCTGCCTCCTGAGTAGCTAGGAGGCGCCTGACCTTCTGGCATGAGAAGAAGTGGTGTGGAGAAAGCATGACTGCAAGGTAGTAATCATCTGATAACTAGAACCTTTATCTCCCCACACCGTCCGTGGTGCTCTTGGAAACAGTGCCCAGCCTACCACGGGTGTCAGACCTCACAGAGAACGGGGTCCTCTCTGCTTTGTTCTTCAGTGATTTAGACTGGGTTTCAATTAAGCCAAGAAATACTCTCACTGAGAATTTAGAAATTCTCTTTGGAAAAAACTTGTTTGGCGCAGATGGTTTTAAACAGAGCCAGAACTAATGAAATGAAATAGATGAATATATTTGAGGTGACGACTGCATCACTGCAAAACTTCCCTTTGAGCTTCCTGGCAGCTAATACAAAAAGGGAAAACACATTTGGAGATAAGGGCACTTGTGAAGAAACACTTCTGGAGAGAACTCTGGGAGGAACCAACCCCTCTCAGTGCATAGCACATTTGGGATTCTTTTTCTTCTTTTGGAAAATTAGTGTTCCTTACATGGGCAGTTTCTTGTGGGCCACCTAGAAACGGTGAAAATCTATGCAGTGACAGTGGGATTCTTTCCAGAGTGGGCCAGGAACACTTTGATTCCAGCATGGCTGGGTTTGCACTGCCTGTCCAGGAGAGCCACTGCTGAGACTGGGACTGCATACATCCCTGAATGGTCACTGTGTGAGCATGGTGGTTTCTTCCACACCAGACACACAGGTCACAGCACTGCTGTTCCACAGTGATGGTCCTCTCAAGCCAGGGGTCACTGTGACTATGTGGGAGGCAAGGGTCTCTAAAGAGAAGTCCCTTTTAATTGTGAATACGCAATGCAGAAGTTCAGTCACTGGCTTTGCCCGCACAGCTTTTCTGTCTGTGGAACTGGTTTCCATTTCTTCAGAAACTACAAAAGGCAGAAAGGAAACAATTATCTCTGTCTTGTTTTCACTTTCATTTGTTCTTCTTAGGTGAGTGTGTGTGTATATTTTTGTTTCATGGGACCAGGGTTTGAACTCAGGGCTTTGTGCTTGCAAAGCAGGTGCTCTACCACTTGAGCCACACCTCCAGTCTGTTTTGTTCTGGTTATTTTGGAGATAGGGTCTCACAAACTATTTGCCTAGGCTGGCCTTCAACTGCAAGCCTCCCGATCTCAGGCTCCCAAGTAGCTAAGATTATAGGCGTGAGCCATTGGCGCCTAGCCTCTTTCAATTTTAGAATAAGCTAGCGAGAGCTGGCAAGGCCAACAGCAGCAGGCCTGTGATTCATGGGGCTTTTGTTTGCAGGGGAAACACTGGCAAGAGAAGTTTCCTCATGGTGCTCGCTTGTTGAACTTGTTTGTAAGAAGAGGTTTCAGGTTCTGAAGAAGT